CTGTGATGACATCAACACATCTTGACTATGACATCAGCGACATGATCAGCTGATCCAGATAATGTGCAATGCTATGTTCAAAACTGCCACTTCCAGAGTCCAACATCTTGTTAAAACAGGAACCAATGGAACTGCAGCACCGCCTCCATCAGTAACACTGTCTCATGATGCTTTGTCCTCACCTGGTGCCTACAATACCCACAATGCAGTTCAGCAGTTTGGTGAGAGGTTTAGGTGCACCGTGCTGCTGATATGGACAGAAGCTGTTGGCCTCAAGGAGACGCTTAGACACTTTATTTTTCCTACAAATGCAGAAGTTGTTGTGGAATCAGTGGTGTTCAGCTTTCAGGCTCCGTTTATGCACCTGATAGCAAAGAAGGATTCTGCTGTTGTTGACTGGGATGGACTCCACATCCACTGATGCACAGTGTGCTCACGTCTATGGATAGGTGAGAATATATTTGTGCACGTTCACATAAAACCTGATCAGGTCCATAAACAAATGATCACACAGTTACAGCTTTGTGTTGACGAACCCATGATAACACACCACATGTGTATGAATGAAAACACACAAAACAAACCAGACATCAGGAAGGTTTAACCCACATGCAGGAGAAAGATCAGTAATAATCCTTATTGGAGGAGTTTTCTCAACGTTTTAAGCAACTTATGAAGCAACTAACTGTGGAAACTAGAGACTGGTTTGATATTAAACTGATCTACGATAGGTTCATATGTTTTTACCAACAGATCTACATAATCTATGACAGCGCGGTGTTTTCAGCCAGAGGAGAGAGAAAGAAGCCATTAGATATCCTCCTGACAGGTTTCATCAGATGCAAAATACGAATGAAGAAAGAACGCATGAAGCAGTGGGCTCAAAGGGGTTAATTATTTCTGACAATACGCAGCATGCTGAGCTGCAACAGCACGAGAAAGCATGAAAAATCACATTCATTAGAAACAAGCACACGCCCACAAACACACACACACACACACACACACACACACACAGTCCTGAACCGCATTGTTTCCTGAACAAACTACATAAGTGTATTATTGCATGATGTGGCCCCGAGCGCTGCCCATTTCCATAATAATTCATGATGGTAATTTTCTGTGTTTGGCTATATGTGCTTTCAGCGTCGGGCTTTTGCAAGACAGACTACAGACACAGAAACACTCTGTGCATTTATCCTAATGTCTCCGCTGTCCTCTCTCTGCTCCATTATCATTTATATTGTCACACACGCTGACCTCTGACCTCCGACCTTCACATAATACTGAGAGGTTATTCATTAAATTCTTTAATTACCACATTTACCCTAAATTCTTGTATAATATCCTGAAAAGGCTGATTGTTATTAATGATAATGTTGGCTTTTTATTACAATTAAATGCTTCAAGTTCACCTTTTTAGAGAACAAAAGAGAATCTCAGATTCAGATTCATTCAGCTTCGTCTTACAAGTGTTTTTAATCGTTTATTTTCCATAAACCAAGACCCCATTACAGGAACAAAGTTCTGCCTTTCCATTTTCATCACAGAAATGCCATTTTCACGAGTAATTCAACTCATTTCATACAAAACACTTTATATTTCCTGCACACTCATGAGCCAAACACAGAGTTTATGATATACTGTTGGTTCTTTGTGCTCCATAAAACAGCATCAACCTCCTGAAACCTGAACCTCCTGAAACCTGAACCTCCTGATGCTCTCTGGTCGTCCGGCACCAAAACTTTAGCAGCAAGTCAGTGTTCTTACTTCTTATGCATTTAATATAAATTAGAAACAAGTTATGCTTAATTACAAAATATGTCTATTTTCTATTTTTTCCCCTCATCATATGCAGCGCTTAACGAATTTATGAGACCACCTGTCTAACTTGGTGAGCATATATAAATATATAGACCATCCAGCATCATGAAGAGCTTTAATTTGCGCTCAGCTCTCCACGTTCTACCGTCTTGAACAGGAATGAGGAATTTTAAACCCAATCTGAGCTGCTGGGCTCCTCTGAGACGTCAGAGATTAATCAAGCATCACGTTCACCCACTAAAGCTCATTTTTCTGTTCAGGAATGCAAGTAATTAACTATAATTTGACATTTTAATCAAGAATTAATAATGTGCTTTACTATTCTTTCTTTTATTTTAGCATTAAAGATGTTATTTCAGTTAAAGAGCTTCTACATGCTGGTCTATTAACCATCACAGAAACATAAGAAATGATTTTGTTAATTACCAAGGCTGTTCATTTAGGGCAGCTGTGGCATAAACCTTAAATTGTTTAGCTCTGTATTAGTACACTGTTGCCCATAAAGTTGGAATTTTTTCCCTCTTCCTATGAAATGATTGTGACAATGTGATTTATTCCTGATAGATAAAGTGAACATCGTCTCAAAACTTTATCGATATCACAATATAAACACAACACACATCACAGTAAAAGTTTAACCACAGTTAACTTTTAATAAACTGTCTATTCAGGCTTAAACTAAACTGAACAACAGGATTAAAGGTTTAGTTTTAGTCCTTCACCCTCGGTCCCTTTAACAGGAAACACACATTCGAGGGGATTTCAGCATCAGAGTGTCCAGTATTACTCTTTAAAAGTCACTAATACTGATATAATATGTCACTGATCAGTGACATGGTGGTGTTCTGTCCACCAGCTGGTTGATGGAGTCAGTGTTCAGGACGTCCCACCTTCAGTCACATCCTGGAGTCAGAACCGGTTCCACCTGCTAACTGGGACTCAGTATGTGATCATTGGACCTGATCAGAGATGATGACTGATGTGTATAAATAGAAATAAAAAGAGGAACGTGTCTGTAAACTAAAGTTATTCCAGCTCTATGGGCGACGGTGTGAATGGATGTAGGAGGGGAGCAGAAGGACTCCCTCTGCAGGATGTCTCTGCTTTTCTTGTAGCTTATTGTTGAAGAGGAGAGACTTTCTCTTAGTGAGCAAAGATCTACAGCAGGTCTAATGTTGTCGTATGAAGAGGACACACGGTGGTAAACTGAACTGAACCACTTCCTGTAATGATCCATTCACTTTATGTCAGTTCAGAATCCCTGAACTAATGATTGAAGTCACTGATGTGTTGCTAGCGAGAGTCTTTAGCCTGCAGGGAGCGAGTGGATCCTGCAGTAAGAGGAAACAGGTTCGTTTCACCGTGAGGCCACAGAGCGCGCTCAGTGGCGTTGTGTTCTAGTGAACAGTGAACCTGACCCGAGTGAGCTGAGAATCTGTCCGGTCGAGTAAGTTCAAGTGTAAAACCTGAGATCAGCTCAGGAGAACATGAGAACCTCCAACATATCAAGACTTAGAACTATTACCTTTTGGTCAGGCTTCAGTTTTAGTTCAGGGACAACGAGCTCTGGAGGACCAGATCAGATCAACTTTATCGATCCCTTACTGGGGACATGTTGCCAGATACAGATGAGACCAGAAGTCCAGCAGTACAGTAAAGCTAAACATGAAGATGTAATAAAGGTATAATAAAGACATGGTGAGTTTACATACGCATATGAATTATATATAAACTGATGTGAGTAATCCATAACGCTGAGAGGAGCTGCTTTAAACTGTAGCAGCCTGCTGTGGGTCGTGGCTTCATCCAGCTAAAGTCCAGGAGATCTATAACCACATGAACCGGGTCCATCTGCAGCTCTCAGTGCTGTTAATGTTACATGTTAGTGTTGCTCTGCCTGTCCCACATACAGCAGCTCTGTGTTTATAAGCTCAGCACAGATCAGTAACCCTGAAAATAAGAATCAAACCGAACACAGACGACATGAAAACGACCTTTATTTACCTGATAGTCGTTTGAAAATTGAGTAATAACATCAAAAATCCATTCATACGTGTATATTATGGGATGTTTTAACCCATAACTGTGGACTTACACTGAGCCAAAGCTTGTCTATTGTTATTCAGCTCACATCAGGTGTGTGTGTGTGTGTGTGTGTTTAACGTGTGTGTGTGTGTGTGTGTGTGCGCGCGTGCCAGATAGCATGTAATGAATTCATTAGCCAGCGTTTATTAACTGGTCATTTGCATACGGCTACAAAGACGAAGCTGTGCGGCCAGCAGAGAGCTGATTTGCATGAGAGCGAGCAGCTCATGCATGCGTGTGTGTGTGTGTGTGTGTGTGTGTGTGTGTGTGTGTGTGCGTGCATGATTTAATGCATGCATGACGGCGGTGGTGTGTGCATGCATGAGAAGCACAGAGGAGAGGAAACAAAGAGGCAGAGGGAGATCTAAATCTCAATCTGCTGCACATCCTCTAAGATGTATAGCGTTTGTGAGGCTCTTGTGAGTAAGTGTGTGTTGCTGGTGTGTATTATGTAGATGAGCTGGTCCTGGACACGTGTGTGTGTGTGTTTACAGAGGACGGTGTGTTTGGACTAATGAGCAGAATGTGAGGACCAGCGACGGCCTCGATCTCACGTAGAAGCAGATTTTTAATGTGTTGTTTTATCCACACGGATTCTGAGGAAGATGGTCGTGAACATTATTCATTACAGCATCTTTACAAACTGCCTGATGCTGTGTCGGTCCGTCTTGTGGCGCTGAAGCAGCACGAACCCATCAGGGTAAAGACACAGGACCTCTGGGGGGTCCTGGTCCACCAGTGGATCCTTAGGGTCTGTTGTGGGGTGGAGCATCCGTGGATCGAGCTTCTTCCATCGTATCACTTTGGTCCTCCATTGGATTGGGATGTGAGGGGTTTGGAGGCTGCCTTAACATTTTGGACTCTTTGTCGTGTTCCTCAAGCGCTGCACTGTCCTGCTGGGGGAAGCTGCTGGTGTCGGGGAGTTCTGTTGCTGTGGGGTGCATGCGAAGTCTGGAACACTGTTAAGATTGTGTTTTATCTTCTGTGTCTGCGAGGATCTTCTAGGATCCATCCATCCATCATCTCTACACCTTCATCCTCACTGTGTGGGAGCTGAAACTATTGACTGCATGAAGTTCTTCCTCACATACATCAAACCCAGTTCCTCCAGTTGTGGATGAGCACTTTGAATCCAGAACCTACTCTCGTACTTCAGCCTGTTCCAGATGTTAGAGGTCAGGCTGCCCACGTGCTTGGCCTGTCAGAGCTCCAGCTGTAGATCATCCAGCTGGTCCTCTCTGTGCGTCGAGCCTCGATGGTAATATGACGCATGGTTTGTATTCTAAAACCTTTATCTTCTTCTTCAAGGGCTCCAGTTTGCTCAGGTTTCTTCTTGTGTTGTGTGACGATGACTTGTCAGCGATTTGTCGAGCTGCTCTTAACATTTAGCTCAAAGCTCCACCATGTGACGGCGTCGTCGTCCTGACAACTGGAGATCAGTAATGTTCAGCTTCTGAATGTGCATTCAGACTGAAAGCCAATCAAATGGTATGTAGAGCTCCAGAAGTTGGACAGAGGAGGAGAGAGCTGGAGACAGTGATGGTACTGAATGTTTATTTAATCTTAAATGAACTGAGAGCAGCAGTGTACCTGGTCTGCATCCCTTCCCTTCATTGTACATCAGTAAAGCTGGATCCACTGAAGGCAGATTAGTTTCTAACTGTGCAACAGAACTGGTTTTACTAACCTGTGATTAGATTTTAGATGAACTTATTGTCTGTTGGTGCAGCCCAACATAAACGTGGTGAACGTGTAAACAAGGGCTGATTTCAGATGTAACTTTGGTTAGAAATATGTTTTTCTCACTGAGTTAACTTGTCCGGACTCATCTTCACTGTCATCCAGAGTGAAGCTGAACCTCTTTGCATCTCCTACATGTTCTCTGCTCTTCTGATCTTCATCACCATGAAGAACTCTGTTAATGACTCCAAATAATGCATCACAACCTGGCTCAAGGTTTGACAAAGGAGGAGAAAAAACACGGGACCTGCAACTAAAAATACGTTGAATTTATCGATCAAGTACAAACTAAACAGAACCAAACGAGACGGAGGCCAGAAGAGAGACCAGTGATCCACCTCCAACAGACCAGACCAGCTGAAACCTGCCCAGAAGGTCGACGCTGAAGCTTCTGAGCTTCTTCCAAAGTCTTGATTTGTTTGACCCGAGACGTGTCGAACGTGTTTCTCCAAACTCTCCACCAGCGAGGGAGAGGAAGGGGTTAAGACGAGCAGGCAGTCTTCACTTTAATCTTCATAATGGAAGCTAAAGAGGACTAATGATACCTTCTCTCTCCTCCTCCCCTGCCTCCCTCCATCCCCCTTCTCCTTCCCTGTTTCCACACCTCCATCCTTAACCCCGCTGACCCTCCCTCGCTGCTTCCCCGGCTCTCTCTCCGGCTCTTTACTCATCCTTCCCATCCCTCCATCCCTTCTCTCCTTAGACACAGCCAGGCGTTACCACGGTGACAAATGGCTCCTCCCACGGCGCAGCGCTGCCCCGTGTGTGCATGTGTTGTGTGTTTGTTTGTGTATCTATATCTGTTTGGCCGTGCGTGCTCGTGGGAATTCGCTGCATGTGTGCTTGTGCATAAATCTGTTTACACGGAGAAAACCAACTGCACATCGTTCCAGCGTTAAATCTCTGCATGAGGACTTAATCTACGGCTCGGGTTAAGTTTAGGCGAGTAGCAGCTACGGTTTGGAAATGACTGCGTGTCAATGAAACATCCTCCGAAGTGATGCGGTGTGTGTGTGACAGTGACGGATAGCCGGTGGTGGTAAACGATGCAGAACTGCCTTTAATAGGAGATACAAGAGGTGGTTAAAAATCCAGCCTAATGGAGAAATATGACACAGAGGGAGGGAGGAAGGCTGCAGGAAGATAAAGAGAGAGAGTTAAAGAAATGATATAATGACAGGAGGAGGCTCACAGGGACAGGAGTGGAAGTGAAACGTGCCTCCAGAGGAGCATCACCACGAGGAACCAAAGTGTTTTTGGTTGGAAGTTGAACTAAAGATGAATGGTGGTGTTTAAATAAATCTGGACAGCTGAGCTAGCAGCTCTGTGAGGCTTCAGAGCTTCATGATGACCTCATGGAGCAGGAACAGTGTTTAGCATCTTAGCTTGGCATGCCAGGACACTGATGCTAACCTCAGAGTGACGGGACGACTTTCGTTTAGCAGCAATCTGTTCATAATCCTAACTTTATGGTAAATCAGGTAATCAGCAAAGTTGTTGAAGCTCTTCATGGGCGGGTCCAGATGTGCGACACTGAGTCTTTAGAAGAAGCTACAAACGTTCATTCTAGACTTTATTTGGAGTCGTCAAAAAACTCTGATCAGAAAAATAACAAACAAACAAACAAACAAACAAACTAAACAGCACATCTATTGAAGCGCTCTCTGGATGAAGGGTCCAGTATTTAAAGATCACTGATATTTAAATATGGAGCAGTGAGAGTGCCAAATTACAGAAACAAATCAATGAAAGAATAATAAAATAAAAGTGGAAATACAAAAAAGAATAAATAAAATAAATAATAAATAATGTGACAGTATAAAGCAATGTTAATCAAAAATGAATCCATGAAAGAAAAGACAAATAAAAGTAGAAAGATAAAGACAAACAATTAAATACAAAAAATAATTAAAAATTTTTAAAAGTAAGTATTTATTTTTATTATTTTTTTATCATAATTTTCATTACAATTTTTAAAATTATAATATAGTATATATTATATATATATATTTTTTTATGTCGCTTTAAAAGCAAAGGAAATATGCGCACAACGACATTCCTAATATCTACATTTTTCTGTGCATATTTCTTTTGCTTTAAAGTGACATTATAAAAATAAATAGATAAATAAAAATAAAAAATAAAAGTTAAAAAATAAATAAATAGATACATTTAAAATTTCTGTATTTAAATATACTAATATTTTTATATTTACAAAATATAAAATATTTTTTAAATATACAAAAATAAATTTAAAAAAATAAAAAATTTTAAAAAATTGTTATCATGTTTATTATTTTATTTATTTGTCTTTATATTTCTACTTTTATCAGCCTTTTCTTTTCTGGATTCATTTTTGATTAATATTGCTTTATACTGCCACATTACTTATTTTGTGCTTTGTTTATTCTGATTTATTCTCTTTTTATTTCCTTTTTTATTTTATTATTCTTTTACTGATTTATTTCTGTAATCTGGTCTCTCTCTGCTCCATATTTAAAGGCTCCAGACTGTAGTTCTCCAGGTCACGAATTGCTCAGTTCTGCCCTCTTCTGGCTAAAATAAGGTCTCACGTCCTCGATAAAACCTCATGCCTCACTGTGGACCTTCCTTTGATTTAAAGTTTTCTGAGTTTTACAAATCTGTCATCTGCTAAATCAGTAATTCATAGTGTTGTTGTCAGAATCTTACAGAAGATTCTTATTCCAGTTAAACATATCTACAAAGTTTTATCCTTCAGCCCAGCGTGGTGCGTAAACGAACCAACGTATTTAGACACCAGCTTCACGTCTTTCCTTTGACCTCCGTTTAATGTCTTGTGTTTTGTGCAGCTTTGATATTTTGAGAAGAAAAACATCCTCCAGTCTGAGTCGACTTTAGAGAGACGCGTTCACTTCTTCTTCCACCAGGGAGCAAGAAGCTCATCGTGTCTGAATCACTTCAGTGAGGATTCTCTGTCTGTCTGATGGATGCTGATGAAGTACGAGGACGACACTCTCACACATTCACAGCTGTTCAGTGAGCAGCCCGCTGAGGTTAATCCAGTTCAACGTGATTCACTGTTTTCATTATTCTCAGGTTAACATTTTAATAACTGAGATCAAACGCTGACGTATCTGCTGCATTTGTTTTGGAATTAACCGATAATTTATCCATTCTGAGCCGGATTTGTTCCCTTGTTCTTCTGAAGCCGCTCCCTCCTGACCGACACCAGGTTCTGTTTGGATCCTCAGAGGTCACATGATTCAAACCGACGGGCCTGAAGCAGAACTTAGAAGCTCCGTCAGGCTTCAGAAAACGGCTGCATGAACTCGTTTCAGTGGAAGAAACTAAGATTTAGTCGTTTAGAAGGACATCTGGACTCTGATCACATTAGTGTTCATGTATTGATTATTTTTCAGTTTTGTTCACTCTTCTTTAAGCTTTTGTGTCTCTTGCCCCGGGTCTATGTATATACATCTATATATATGTGTGTGTGTGTGTGTGTGTGTGTGTGTGTGGACGATGGACATTGATTTTTCTGTGGTTTATTCGCTCCTATCAAAAACATGTCAATAAAAATAACTCAGAAGCAGGAAGTCAGCACCAGCACAGCTCAGATAGAGAATAAAAGGTTTCTGCTGGAGTTGGAGTCACCGTTTGAGACGTGAACATCGTGATTAATAGACTTTCTCTTTGCTTTGGAGACGACATTTTAATTCCTGTCTACATGATAAACACAAAAACTCCTCTTCCTCATAGATTTAACCTTTTTATTTTGAACACCGACTTTCTATCACGTGATTTTTAATTCTTTTCTTCGTGACAAACAGAACGACTCGCTTTAATTCAACCTTTTTACAACGAATTTAATGTGAGATAAATAGAATATGGACTCAACATCTTGTGTTTCTGATGATTATTTATTAAAATAACTTTAACTCGATTCTGATGACATTTATTTTATGTTTCTGTCAGTTACTTTTCACATTGTGCTTATTTACACCACAACGGTTTTTTTTTGTCAATAAGAAAAAAGCTTCATGTTTTCTTCATTTCTCAGTCAGGGTGCAGTTCTCTGGTGTCGCCACAAGGCGGCGCTGTCGCCTGCTTTGTAACTTGCACTTGACTCCACAGATAAAGTTCATCCACTGAAGCTGAGACTCGTTTCAACGTAATGAAAGAACCGAGCTCATAAAAGCCTTTATGTCCTTTACAGCAGCAGGATGTTCTGGATTTTACCAACGGGATCAATAAAGTTCTGTCTCATCTAATCATCTGTTGAACTTTGGTAAACCTTAAAGGCGTTATAGGGTCGGAGAGGTCAGAGGTCATCGCCTGTAGCTGGACGTATTTATTCCAACATGTATGAGGCTAATGACGA